TTTGCAGCATATCTTACAACAGCCCTCATCGTGTCAGTAAATCTCTCCAACTCTCAGAAACAAGAAAAGCAGCCACAAAGGCCGGATAAGCTGGGAATCCAGAACAGAAACTCAAACACATCCTTTCCTCTGTAACTCTACACATCAATCAACCTGTAGCATGGCTGCTTCCTCTGTAGCATAATACCTATATCGTAAGACTGTTGAGTACTCGCACAACTATGTAAGACACTTAAAATGGCTTATTTAAAATTTTTTAAACTCACTGCCACCAACTTGATGCCGACTCACAGCAACCCTGCAGAGCAGGGTAGGTCTGCCTCTGGCTTTCAGAGAGACTGTGACACAGTACAGAAGTAGGAAGCCCCATCTTTCTCCCACGGAGCAGCTGGTGATTTTGAACTGCTGACCTTGTGGTTTGCAGCCCAACTCATAACCACTACACCACCACGGTTCCTCTAAAATGGCATATAAAATGCTTAATAAGCACCAGCTATTAGTACTGTGGTGATCATCACTGTTAGTACTAGGTACAAGTGGGTAAAGCCAGAAAAGAAGGGATTTCTGTTTACCAGTGGTTTGGGGCAGAAACTTCAATGTGTGTACAAAATCACGTAGGTATGTTGTTAAGAATGCAGAGTTTGATTCCGTGGATGTAGTGTGGGGGTGATTCTGTGTCCCTGACAGATTCCCAGCTGAGAAACAAAGCTTGACAGAAGGAAAGACAGCTATGGCCTTGCACTAGCAGTTAAAAATAAGGAAAGGGGAGGAGGCCAGAATCATGAAAGTCTAGAAAGGCATGTACAAGCCAAATGTTGTAACCAGAGACCTAGCACTTAGCTATTTTGGACAGCTCGTGCCTTAGGACTTCTGTCCCCCTAGCAAAAGGGTTGATATACTCTAAGCAGATCATTGAGCTTTGGGATAAGCAAACACAATGAGCAAGGAATGTTGAAGAAGAAGAAATAGGCCCAGGAAAACAATATTAATAGGTTTACACCACCTCTCCACTTAGTATAATAATCTCAAAACCACAGTCAAATTAGCTGGAGAACTTTCATCTGCGCTACACTAGCCTTTGCTTTATTTCACAGGTTTTAGTGCTTGGCCGTTTCTCAAGTGTAATGA